AGTCATAAGCACTGGCATGATAAAGGACAGTTTGATCAACTCATGAACATATGTGGGGGAGAAACAATTCAAGGCATTACATGTCAAAGGACCTGACCGAGCAAGTCCGCACTGACATTGGTAGACTTAAAGCCTAATGCAAAAAGGCTTGCTCGTAAAAAAAGCGTATATTTGCAAACCTGGAAGCATGGCAAATGCTGTTCCGCTGGGCATAGCCTAAATTGAGTGACTAGGCATAAATTGAAACAGCAGATGTAATCCATTAAGAATTTTGCACTTATTATTATGTAGAATGTGTAGTATGCTTACCAACAGAATTAGCAAAATACTAGGAGGGGGATGTGCATGGATTACTTACCACTTGCAGTCTGATTTACGAAATGTAACAAAGGATTGCAGGGGAAATCTATGCTTCAATATTCAAAGGAGCAAAGTTCCTGGCAAAAATGTCTGGGGTTCACAATTGGCAAGCATTACTACAGTAACAGAAGATAAAGAGAAAGAATCTTTCCTATGTTAACATAATTGAACGTATATATTTTCGTTTGTGCCATATATTCTTTTTTGCCCTGCCTGATGAACTAAACGCTTGCTTGGAGTCTTTTTGGTTATTGAGAAGACATCCACTGTCAAACTATTTTTTTTTCTTTTGATTTGTTAAAAACTGTAATATGGTGTTTAATTTATAACATCAAATAAATAAAATTATTGACTCCTAAAACACCAAAAACTGTTTTGTGCATTAGAGTGTCAACAAAAATGATATATCGAAATGATATTGCTTTCAGATACTGAATAATCAATAATCTTGCCTGGTTGAAAAGTTTTGAATGGTCCAGATGCCAGAGGCTACTCTGCTGTGTTTAGTCATCATATGGGCTGTATGGCATGATTTTTCTTTTTTAATTAATTTCCACAAAAAAATGTCTTTTTGCCTCTCCGCTGCCTGCCTTTTCTCCACAAAATGATCATACCAGCCATCTGTGTGCAGTGCTGTTTCAAATTAGACCCGTCTTTGGGACACACAAAATAGTTTCCTCTCAGTTTACTCTACCAAAGTCTTAATAATGACAGATATTAAACGCATGCATAATTATCGTTTAAATAGCAACCATACACTGTAGAAATAGTTTTGGAGGATGGAAAATGCAGTCCATCAAATCATTTAAAAATACCTTTACATTTTGCTTAAAGGAAAAGTCCGGTCAGTAAGGAATAATATCTAAAACTAATACGTTCACGGTAATTTAATGAATTTAGCAATAATCAGTAAAAAAAATTAGAACAATGTTTTTCGTTACAATCACTGAGTCTGGGAATGGCCATGTTTGACACAACATAGTAACACCTCACTCCTGACATCTTCCGGCAGTGACGTCACTCTATGGAAAGCCTAGCCTATTCTCCCCGCTTTGAAAGCAAAATCAATGTGAGCTACTGGAAACATCTGCAATCAACAACAATTATTGAAGATATCGAGAGGACTTAACCATTGAAATTCGCGAGAGCTAAAACTGACAATGCCCATGTGCATGGCAGTTGGATCTTGTAAGACTTCGGGTAAAAATGACAATAAAATGACTTATTTCACCTCTCCGATTCATGATCTAACACAGGTTCGTCGTTGGATTGCCAACTTGAAGAGGGAGGATTTTCTATTGAAATTCTGGCCAGAGAAAAAACACGTCATTATTCCGTCACTCTCTGCTTCACATAGTGCACTGGTCGTCACCATCATGGATAATAGCGTGTTGTGACAAACACCAGATACAGCACTTGGACTTGATCATCAGCTGATACCGCACCGTGACGTCACAAACCGGTAGGTGGCAGTAGTGCTCTTTGACAAACATGGATGTCTCTGGTAAAGCCTATTTAAATGAAATTACTCTTAATTAAAAACACTTATCGTTTATTGAAAAATATGGAATAATTTCATACTTAAAGGGCTTTCAGAAGTTTGTATATGACTTGACTTTTCCTTTAACAAATTAACTAAATTATAAAGAGTAAATTCTACCTTTTTGTTAGCAGTAGCAAATGCCACATAAAAATATATTAAAAGATTTTTCCCAAAGATTTTGGCCATTGCAGTGCATGCATGTGCCAGAAACTAGCTGCTCTGCTGAAACATTCAAAACAAGAGAAGTTGCAACAGGAAAACTGTGATGTTAAAAATTTCTTCCTTTTATCTATTTATCAGTGTGTCAAAGACAGTGCCATAAATTTTGCAATCAGAAAAAAGTTTTTCCCCCCATATATACAAATTGGGCTTTGCGTGGACACATGCTTTCATTTAACATTCACACTTTTTAGGAATGCACACAAAGAATGTTTTTTCTTTTTTTTTTTGTATTTAAAGGAATAGTACACCCAAAACATGGTTAGCCTTCATTTTCTACTCACCCCCATGCTGAACAACACTCTGGAGTACTTTTTTGATATCTCAAATGCATCTGGAGATCTGGGAGGCTTCTTGCTGTCTGCTGACATTCAAATAATGGAGGTCTACGGTGCCCGAGACAGAAAGGTCCATAAAAGTCCACAAAAAACGTGTCAATATTCCTCCATACTGCTCGTCCAATGTATTCCAAGTGTCCTGAGTGGATAGCGTCCATAATTTACTCAAAACGAAGTCATTTAGAATGTTTTTAGAGCATAAACAGTAGTGTATAGGATTTCCTAAAAGCGCGTTCACGAGTCTACGGAAACCGCGGCAGACCAAACCAGACGAAAGTGCGCATTCAGCGTCTGCTCTGCCGATAATGCCAGCGTAGAAGAAGAAATGTGCTGTTTACCTGTGCAAAGAAAGAAACAACGAAAGAAAAATGTCTGAGGACTTCAGTGTTGAGGAAGAGCATGAGTTATTTGCCGAGCTGAATGCGTACTTTCGTCTGGTTTGGTCTGCCGCGGTTTCCGTAGACTCGTGAACGCGCTTTTAGGAAATCCTATACACTACTGTTTATGCTCTAAAAACATTCTAAATGACTTCGTTTCGAGTAAATTCTGGATGCTACCCACTCAGGACACTTGGAATACATTGGGCGAGCAGTATGGAGGAATATTGACACGTATTTTGTGGACTTTTATGGACCTTTCTGTCTTGGGCGCCATGGACCTCCATTATTTGAATGTCAGCAGACAGCAAGAAGCCTCCCAGATCTCCAGATGCATTTGAGATATCAAAAAAGTACTCCAGAGTGTTGTTCAGCATGGGGGTGAGTAGAAAATGAAGGCTAATCATGTTTTGGGTGTACTATTCCTTTAACTTCCCAGATCCTCCCTAACATTGCAATGGTAAAGACAGTTTAAAAGTTTAAAATTCAAAATAAATTATAATTGTTTTTTTTGTTTTTTTATTAAATTCTGTTATACTAACGTGAGTATTTTAAAAGTTTTTCATTGCAGTTTGTAAATATTTAGTCCTGTTGAAACTAAATCAGTGTCTATGAATTTTGAGGAGGTAAGGTTATAGAAATGCTTTTTAAAACACAAACTCCCATTCTCCAACCTGTGAATCTCCCACAAACATTTCGATTTGTTTCGCTTTACAAATTTTTCTAGCTCCATTCCTTTCCATCAATTAGTTTAAGCACAGCTCTCTGTGAATACTTTTTGAAATTAACTTTTTGGATTTAGGTGGTCACTATCACCTGGACAAATGTCCCATGAAAAAAATGCCCTAAAAAGTTTATTCAGAGAATTTAATATGGAGCACAAAAAAAATGTATTAGACCTAAGGGAGGTTTAAATTTTCTGAAGAAATTATTAAAGGTATAGTGGAGGATTTTCGTGAATTTTTGAAAAGACTTTGCCTAAAAAAAATAATAAATGCACATGCACAACCATGTGCCTGCTCCCGAGAGGGAACGTCTATTAAAACTCGTGCGAGAGCATGCACAAACCCATTTCTCCTCGTGCACACTCTGTGTAAAAGTTGCAGTTTGCTTACTTTCCAAAAGAAGATTTGAAATGTTTCCACTATGTCAGACTCACCAAAGGTAAGTGAAAATGGAGACAAGCATGTAGGACGGCCTTACATAAACATATCACCAGAATGATAAACAATTAGGAGGACCAATTATTTTGATGATCCACCTGGAAAAAGAACATCCTCCACTGTACCTTTAAGGTTATTGTTTTCTATTAGCTGTAAACAAATATAGAAGAATGAATAGAAACAAATCAAAGAACAAGAACCATAGAAATGCTTTGTAACCCACTCAGGATATCAATAACTATCTTTAATAATTTTGATTAGCTGCTCATATTTGAGGTTTTGATAGAACAAACTATGGAGTAATCAGATGGAAATGAAAAGGGAACTTTCCATCTAGTACTGGTTATTCGGCTTTCTTTTAAAAATAAAGGTGGTACTTTTTTCATGAAGGTCATGCTTAGTTAGATAGGATTATAACTAAAATTATTTCCAGAAATTCTGTTTATTTTTGCCTGATGTGTTTTGTTTTTTTAAGCTGGTGGCTAAATGGCTGAAATGCTTTTTATTGTATTAGTTTTCCTTCTTATAAATGGGGTTATTTTAAGAAATTACATTTTAATACACTCTTTTTGAAACGTTTACCTGGAAGTGAGCTTTATAAATCGAACACCGCCTTCGGCCGCATCCATCTTGGATCGCCTCTGTGCGTTTTTGCGCTTCAGTGGGAGTTAATGAAGATATGACATATATATATATATATATATATATATATATATATATATATATATATATATATGAACTTTTGAGAGCTGCTATAAGCAAATACGGGCTTTATAAAGCCGAGCGGCCTACGCGTCCACGCAAAGTGCTGAAATGAAAATGATCAACAAGTGTGGAGTTCCTGCACGCGTTTGGCACATGTGCTGTCCTTTAAATATTCACTCCGGCACTGTGGCACCCAGATTGCTTATTCAAATAAGGGAAATGATTTGTTAAATTAGAATATGCAAACATTTTAAAGGCTCTTTTTCAAAGTAAACAAAAGTTTTTTTTCTGCAGGAATTAAAAATAAAGATTAGACTATTACGCGGCGGTGCGCCCTTACCCGCGCCGCCCTGGATGAATAGGGATCCTCGAACAGGTTCCAGATCACAGGCTGCCACTTCCTCCACAGGCTGACATTCCCCTCCGCGGCCAGGTCCTCGATCCCCAGCCTCTTCCCAATCTCGTCGTCCTCCTCCCCGTTGTCCACGTTGAGCTCGAATACGTCCAACGCCTCCTCCGCGTCCCGGTGCTGCCGGTAGGTCATCCAGCAGCAGGGCTCCACATCCGTCTCATCTATGCCCCAGAAAGAGAGCTCCTCTTCGAACAGCGGTCCGCACACGTCCGCCGGGCAGTGGAGCTTCCCGGTGCGGTAGTAGTTGAGCACGTAGGCGAAGACGCCTGGGTGGCGGTCGAAAAAGTACTCGTTGGTCCTCGCGTTGTACTCGATGAAGCCGGGGACTTGTTGCAGCTGATCCAGGACGGAGTCGATGTCCGAATCGGAGGCGAGGAGGGCCAGTCGGGTCCCCGGCAGGGTCTTTAGGGTGCTTTTGTAGGTTTCGTGCCTGGTGCCCCCGACGTTGAGGATTATCCTCTCGTTGTCGTCGAACTTGCCCATCGCTCTGTTTCAGACATGACTTGATGGGATCTTAGGGAGAGACGCAGAGATGGAGGTGGTCGGTGTGTGTGGATGATCCGAACCCGGGCAGACTGTGAGGAGCTGCTGATGTTGGTGCTGATGCTGCGCGTCTCCCTGCCCTCTCCAAGACGCACAGCCGCTCAGCGCCCGGCACGCCGCCTAAAAAAGAGGAACGCAACTCCTCTCTGAAATCGATGACGGCATCATTAGAGGCTGTCTGAAAACTAATTCGTTCCTTCTTCTCTGTTTGCGCTCCCTCACGTGATTGTTTTCCAGAGAATCCGATCCGCGCCCTTCTTCTTCTGAGCCAGTCTCAGCAGAAACGCCTGATGGGGAAATTTCCACAGAAAATCGTGTTTCTCGTTTGAAAAAACGATAAAGGATGAACAGAATCAACAGGTCTTCAGCTCCACGATGCGTTAAGATCTGACTAGATGCATTTAATTGCAGACAAGACCACCGCCCACCAGCTACTACACCAACACTCATCTTACCAAGCCTGCTGCCATAAAAAGGCTGGTTAGACTAGGCTTAGATTTGCCTTGGGGTGCCACACAGAAACTGAAAGACTAAGCAGAGTTTTACAGATTTTTTAAAATCATTGAACATTTACTCTCTTGATTAAGACTGAAAATAAGACGTGAGACTTTAATTCTTCCACAAATAAATAAAGTTCTGTCATTTTTCTAATACTTTTCCTTTCTTCTTTATCCTGTGAGGTCATGCAGTCTTTCTGTCCCTCAGTGGTGTTTTTATGCCTTTCACTTTGTCCTTCCTTCCCTCCTGCCCTCCTTTTCTTCCTTCTTTCCCTTATTGCCTCTTGTATTACTGTATTTTTTTTCTTTTGCCCTTATTTGTCTTTTTCCTTCCTTGCGTCCTTTCATCGTCATGCCCTTCACAATACATTCCTTTCTTCCTTCAGTTCCTCATGTTGCATTTACTCCCACTTTCCATTTGTATGTCTTAATTTGCATCAAATGCATCTTACAATGTAAATACTAATGTCACATCTCATTATTAAGGACTAGATCATGGAAGGCTCAATGATGCAGCCTTAACTTTTTTTTCTAACTGTATTTGTGCAACACTTAATGAAGTCTGAAGGTCTTAAGGGTCATCTATTGGTTACCTTTAGAAGTGGGATAGAAAGAAATTAGCTTTTTAAAAAATGCTGTAGGACAGAATGTATTTTGTCTCAAAATAAGAAGTCATCCTTAAGTTCTTTGGTTAATTATTTTTCATCTAAGAGGTTTGCTCTCTAAAAATGGCCTACTGTATATGGAGAAGTGCCATATTTACTACAACCTATATAGAACACATCCCGAATCTGCAGAAGAATGTTCTTTGGTTAGAGGAGAATATTAAAAAAAAGACTAACTTGGCTTTCATTCGAATCCTTGGGTGAAAAATAACTTATAACTGAACTTAGACGTGAGCTTTCTGCAGAGAACATGGAACGGCAAAAACAAGATCTAAGTGGCACATCAGTTAGCACAGTGCAATTCCTTTAAAATTGCTATGTGTTTTGTTTTATCTTAGTGTTTAGAATGCTCAGATTATTTTCCATCCATTTTCTGTCATGCAAGGGGTGCTGGTCCCTATCTCCAGCTGTCTACAGGCAAGAGGTGGTGTACAACCTGGACAGGTCCATAGTCCATCGCAGGGGAACACAGAGAAAAACATAAAAACAGCCATTCACACACACACACTTAAGGAGAATTTAGAGAAGCCAATTAACCTAACAGTCATGTTTTTGGACTGTGAGAGGAAGCTGGAGTACCCTGAGAGACCCCATACATCATAAAGAACATGCAAACTCCATGCAGAAAGGCCCTGGGCTGGGAACCTGGAACCTTCTTGCTGCAAGGCTACCCGCTACTTTCAAATATGAAAAAACAGTTATTAGGCATTTCTGTAAATGGTCAAAACTGTAGAATGCTACAATATATTATCTATGAATCTATGTTTATCTATGTAAGATAAACAGGACATCTTTTTAAAATGTACAGCAGTTACATGCAGTATTACACATCCATAAAATTTCAAACTCCACACATTAGAAAAAATAACTTGTTATTTGTATAAAAATAACAAACCACATACAACCACATCATGCGGTAATAAAGTCAGTAGCATGTATGTGTTTTGTGAATGGAACCAAAATGCAGATTCGAACTCAGAAGGACAAGGTTTTAATTAAAGAGACAATTTGTAAACTTACAGAAACCACAAACAAAAATCAGTAGAATTCAGCAGTGAGAGAAAGAATCAGAGGAGCTTATTGAAAAGGAGCCACAAGTGGCATGGAAACCCGGCGAGAGTCGTCATCTGTTTGCAGCGCAGTTTGGGAACCAAGAAAAATGTGAAAAACTGGCACAGGAAAAACACATAACAAACAAAAAGTTTTTAAAAAGCACCAACAGAAGGGACTTAACAGAAATGCACGGAGCAGGATATAAGCACAATCCAAATTAACAAACTATCACAACTAAAAGCTATAATGGTCTAAACACATACACCATTACATCAGCTTAACATAGGGACCAGTACCAGATGTAACAACATCTTTTACTCCACATAACATTCTTCAAAAACTCTTTGGGAACATCAGTCTAAGACAGGTCTTAACGGTATTTTTCTCAGCTGTGGTTTTGGTTTCAGATCTAATTTTTTCTTATGGTTGAATAACAAACTCAAACCATGAGTGAGACAAAAGAGGCCTGATGTTGTTTTGGGATCTTCTGTGCCCTCCTGGATGAGTCTTGTGCTCTTGGAGTAAATGTCCACGCTGTTGAAAGTTCAGAGGTGTTTCAATCTGAATCGGTTTGTGGATAATGACTCTTATGGGGGGTTGGATTGAGTCCTAAAATTTTTTGCATTATGATCTGCTGCTGTCAATGAGTCTAACCAGGCCTGATGTTGGCAAAAAAAAAATAAAAAATCAGGTTTTGTTGTTAAAGATCAACAAAAGCAGAGGATGTACTTCCTGCGCTGGCTGACAAAAATCAAACTGCTAAGGACAATGTTGGTGCAGTTCTACCCCTCCATCATTGAGTCCATCCTCACCTCCTCCATCATCATGTGATACGCTGGTGCCACCGCAGAGGACACGGGCAGAATGCAGCTTGTCATCCAGTCTGCAGAGAAGTTGATTGGCTGCAATCTTCTATCTCTCCAGGATCTGCACGCCTTCAGGACTATGAGGCGTGCAGGGAAAGGTTGAGGTCTGATCCCTCACACGCCAGCGACAAACAATTTCAGTCACTTCCTTTTGGTTCAACAAGGCCCAGAGACCCCCATGAAACTGACATTGCCTCTCTCCCTCCCCCGTTCAGGACCTAGAAGCTACACCATCTCCAGACCTCCTGCGTTACATTAACGCAGTCTACTGTGTGTATGATATATGCCTATATGCTATACATCTTATATAGTATAATGTATGTTTTATATTGTATATAGCTATATATTCTGTATTCTGTATATATATTTATTTCTCTGCACCATCAACACCGAGTCAAATTCCTTGTAAGTGCAAACTTACTTGGCAATAAACTTGATTCTGATTGTGCTTTTTTCCCCCCATGCAGTGCAGGCTGGTTTGATGGAGAAACAAAAAGGGAAAAAAACACCCAATTCGAAATTGGGTGTTTTTTCATCAAACTGCATGTGAATCATCAGTCCTCAATTGTTGCTATAGATAGTAGCAGGTGGTTCCTACCAGCGAGACAGCCAGGCGATCTGATTCCCAGTCATCTGCTGGCAGTTTTTGCCATCAGCAGAAGGCCCATCGTCTGACAGCCACCACAGTGTGAGAGGAGGGAAAATGAACATCTTTAGGGAATCGGAGCACAGCTCAATCAGTGAGGAGACACTGCGGGTGATTTTCCTATAATCATATGTATCATTATCCCCTGATGTAAGACCTGTTTGTTGAACTGCAACCGCTGAGTGACCCAATTTCTTATTGCATGTGAAAGATTGCATGGAGGTAATTAATCATCAACATCCAAATGTGAATGGTGCAACCACACAATCACCTTTAATAAGCAGTGTCAAAGAAATGCAAACTGGGTCTAACTTTCACTTTTTTACCCTTATAGACAAGATCCATCTGGAAGAAGGACACAATCACATAACCTATATTTGTATTAACAGATTCAGCTAATGAATTAATCTGCTTTCCATTGCAGACCAAAAAAAAAATATGGGTGATAAATTCATTCATTTATACACTTTTTTGTTTCAAATAAAGATAGAGCTGGTAAAAAAAAAATAAAAAAAAACTCAACATATGATATTGAGACCCTTAAATGTTTTACTAATAAGGCCATTTATCACAGAGCACCGGGGACACCAGAGGTTCAGCACAGTTTTTCCCTATAAACAGCCATCAGTGTTCTGAATGATGCAGGCAGCATCCTGCGTTCCTCCCCCCATAATATCACGACTAAAAATAGAACAGCCCGATTGCTGATCTTTATCAGGAGGTGCAGGGCTTAAAAAAGGGGGAAAATGACTGAAAGTCCTATGGAAAGTCCTTCTCAGTGCCTTTTGCTCGACGGGATGAGTCTCAGAGGGAGATAAAGGCCATTAGCACAGCCTTTGTTTTTTTTCCATAGAAATATTTTTACTTGAAATAACTGAACATAAGCTATTTTAGGAGTGAAGAGGATAATTTCATAATGGATCTGCTATGGTTATCAAATAGGAAAACAATGCCTCCAAAAACACATTATACAACGTTAATAACACAAGATTGTTTGTTTGTTTGTTTGTTTGTTTGAAAGTTTGTTTTACCAGTAATAATATGAAAATCCTGAAGACACAGGTTTTTATTAAAGATTTTATTAAAGATTAGTGTTGACTGTTGTGTTCCATGGTGGTGGCAGCATTATGATGTGAGATGATGGGAAGAAAAGGGAATCGCAGTAATACAAGAAAACTGTTCCTTTAATGGATAATTTTAGATGAAAACATGTCTAAATGGTCTAGTCAAAGTCCAGACCTAAACCCAAAAGCCATGGCTTGAATACTGACATCCACAAGTCCTCTCTGACCATTCTGACTGAACTTGAGCTGTTCTACCAACAACAACACAAAAAACGGTCAAGATGAATCATTTTTGCAAGTCAATCAAAATGAAACCTCACTGAGCAAGAGAACAGAAGAATAAAAGCTCAGCACACACTTTCGGCTTGCTTCCCATCTGATACGGCACATGATTTCTGCTTTCCTCTGACTCCCAAATCCTGCTGACTCTGAAGGCAACCAGGAAACAAAAAGACACTGCTTTGTTTAAAACCTCTGCGATTTCAGTTGTCTCTTCATATAACGACAAAAAAATACTGCTTATGAGGGGAGATTGTCTCTTTCACTATCAGTAAGTGAAGCTATTTTTACTTCCCTTTGAGAGAGAATGAAAGGCAAACAAATCAAAACAACACACATATCACATCCTGGTCTGACAACTGTCTCCTCATCTAACCACAGGTTTGTTTGGATGAGTTCACAACTGTTTC